AGAGCGAAGATTATAGTCGTGGAATGTTGGATGATGTGGCCCTGCATTTTGTGGCATAAGGCCACTTGTGAAGGAACTGTCAGATTGGTAAGAAAAGGTCCAGACGTTATGTAGCCTGCTTACAACACCACCCTTGAATGGGCTAGTATGCTACATAGGCACTGCTTACAATTGTGAGAGAGGTAATTGGGATAAGTTCTTGTTTGATTGGTACGAAATGGGCTAGGATTATATAGCCCGCTTACAAACCCAAGTATGGAAAGTAACAACCTTGGGAACCCTTAAGAGGTTTGAATCCGAACTTAAAGATAGCTGGGAAATCCAAACTCAAAGATAACTGAGATCCTTATCCGCTAATTAGGCAATCAGTAGAGGTAATTGGGAAAATATCTTGCTTGGTTGGGAATAGGGCTAGGCATTATAGAGACGGCTTACAAACCTAAGGATGGAAAGTGACAACCTTGGTACTCTTAAGAATTCAATATCCCAACTTACATATACCTGGGACACTCATCCCTTAGTTAGGAACTAGCACAAATGCCCGTGCGTTGCAACGGGAAAAAACTTTGACGTGGATTCAAATTTAATGAGAATTATGAAATGTTGCTCATTTTCAAATCGGCTCAGTGCGCCACTTCTTCTATCCAACTCTAACAGATTTTGTATGAAAATAGATAGAAGAAGGGAACATAATTCTAAAAACATATAGTTCACTTCATATTTTTCCTATTCCTCTTTCCTCGAGTAGCGGATATTACTCGCATTTGTAGTGATATAGTATAAAAATAATGTTATTGCCATCATGTCTACCGGAGTTTCAGTAGAACCAAACAAAAAGGAAAAAAAAGCCAGAATGAAGAATGAAGGGAAAAACTTGTGGAACTCACAATTTTTTGTTAATTCCCTCACTTCAGAACTGTTCAATTAAGTTTTCAAAAAATAGAGTTGTTCAATTAACACACTTGATTTTCTGTTTAAAATTAGATTAGTAACACAAAGTCTCGAGCTTGAAATTAAAATAAAATAACACAGCGCAATGATTAATTTTCCCACAATCCCGTTTAAGTACGAGTCATTTTTGTTTTGCGCCCATTAGTTTTCCAGATGGCATGCAGCGTGCAATGATGATGAGCCATGAAATCAACTGCCCCACAATCCCGCTTTAGTTAGGAGTTTTTCTGTGCGACCGTTAAATCTAATTTTCCACATTCCTGCTTTTCAATTAGGCTATGAAATCTCCACAATCCCGGCAAGCAGCGTGCAATCAGGTCATGAAGTCAATTGTCCCACACAATCCCGCTTTAATCATAATAGTCCTGAAATTCATCCTTCATTTAATTTAATGCCCAAGATATCCCTCAATTCCTTCATTTAAATAATACTCAAGCATCATGAAGCGTGCATGTGCATCCTTCCTTTTATGTTCATGCCCAACACACAACTTTCTTGGTTTCTTTTAATGCCCAAGACAGCCCGACCTTTATAAGGTTGTCCGCTCTAACGTTAACCTTTCTTAGGCAATTTGCTGGTCATACCGGAGAATTTCTACGTATATAAAGGGCTACGGATTGATCTAAACGAACGATGTGGGACTAATCTAACATAAAATATGGATGCTCACCTGATCACCCCCAGCGCTATCTATTTTTTCCCATGCGGCTTGCGGCCCAGCAAAGCCCTAGCACTCTATTTTTTCAAGCCCGGCGAAGCACTGCAGGTCATCGGTAGTACTATTCATTAGTATGAACGGCCCGCTCCAAACAGCATCATACGCTAGTTCAATTGGCCGCACCCTTGGGTAACGAAGTGGAGGTGTTGAGTTCGACTCCTGAGTACCAGGTATATGTGGCCTTGCTTTTTATTTTTCGAATTCGATGGAAAAATAATGAGGATGCATCTACGCCTCGCTCGTTCAGGACGTATCAAATTTTATTAGTACCACCTCGCTTATACGTTTTAAATTCAAACTAAAAGCGTAAATTCACAGAAAGAAAGCGCATTGTGACGGTGAACCCGACGGACTCAATCCGTGCTTTATTATTAGGGAAAGATAGCTCCACCCGTAGGGCAAGTGCTCCTTCCTCCTGGGATGCCCTCCTGTTGTGGCCAACTGGCCATACTTCTGGGCCAAGTATACTTTGCTAGTGATATTTTGTCCTTTGATTTTTAACACAATCAGGGCTCATGCAGGTGTCTATTTCATATTTTGTCCGTATGGAACCTATGCAGCATTTAGGGCATGAAATTAATTTAGCAATAAACGGCAATATCCAGACATGCGAGAACTTGTGTGAATTTTACCAGTTCTGCCTCTATTTTGATGCATAGGGTCTTTATGAGGTCCATCTGCTTCACTTTACAGCTTATTTAAGTTTTTTATTTTCTCGAACACACCTGGGAGTTTGTCCTTTTTCATTATTTTTGTATTTAAAAGCCTTTTCTTCTGTCAATTTCTGGTTTTGCGTGTATAATATGTTACATGTTCCATTTATTAGTTAGGAACTTAATCTTGAAGTTAGGATTCCATCCCCTTTTCTTTTGCTGATTTGTTGCTTAATATCTGATGGGCTGCGCATGCTTTTGGTTCTTAGATTTTTACCATTTTGTCATACCCTTGGCAATCAGTATCAATGACTGGAATTTACTTTGCAGGATATCTGTGACATTTGTTGATAAGGATGGCGATGAAACGGTTATCAATGTTCCTATTGGGATGTCAATGCTGGAAGCTGCTCATGAGAATGACATAGAACTTGAAGGTCCTCTGCAGTACTCCTTTTTACTAATTTTGGTTTGAATCTTGAACATTCTGCAGTAATACCACGCCTGTACTTGAGTTCATTGCTTCCTTGGACTTAATATCACCTGTATTTTTATTAGCTAAAGGAGCTTACATTGATATGTAAGTTCAAAATTAGGTATAGATATGTCATGATACCTTTCTGTTATTGTATGCCTCCTTTGATTCTGCATCTGTTAGAATTTTCGTTTAAATTCTGTTGCATGTTGATTTACAGTACTCCCTAACCTTTTTTTGCCATATATATCTGAATTGCTTGTTCTGCCATGATCACCAGGAGCATGTGAGGGCTCTCTTGCATGTTCTACCTGTCATGTGATTGTAACGGTACGAAGTTCTACATACATTCTTTCTAAGTTTTCAGTATGTTCAGACAGTTCAAAGTGCAGTTTGATGAGAAAGTTCTATTCAGGACGTAGACTACTATAACAAATTGGAAGATCCTGAAGATGAGGAAAACGATATGCTGGACCTTGCTTTTGGGCTTACAGAAACGTATGCTTATCTTTTTTGTGAAATTGTACAAAATGCATTACTCCAGTTAAACTAATCTGGTCCCATTGTTTTAGATCTCGCCTTGGCTGCCAAGTAATTGCAAGCCCTGAACTTGATGGCATAAGACTAGCACTGCCAGCAGCTACCAGAAATTTTGCTGTTGATGGGCATGTCCCAAAACCACACTAACTAAGCACTGGGTATGTTGCATACCTGCTCAGTTTTGCAGAATATGAGATATAGTTACTTTTGTTTTTCATCTTGTTGTATCTGTATCCTCAACATTTGAATTCTGTAGTCCTTGGCAAGATAGCGATTATCGTCAACTTGCTCCGTCAAATAACACTTGTAAAATTCATTGGAAAATGCATTGTCATTGCAATGCTAGCAACCTTGCGCTGGGAAAATCTACCATCAGTTTGTCCATCACTCTTTATTTTTCGCTATATATTATGCTATACTGTAGATCTTCCTTGTAAGCTAATGCTTGTGTGTATCAAAGTGGTATCAGCTGTTATATCTACCTAGCGTTCTGACCTTATTTTTGTAGCATTCTCCTTTAATTTTCCTTTTGTTACCTTGTAGTTATGTTTTCTATATCATAGGGCAGATATGCTGTAATACTGTAGTTATCAATCATACTTAGCAATGCTACTGCGTACTCTTAAGTACTATGAAGCCCGGAAAAACTATACATTTTGCCAGTCTACTTTCATACTCCATTTTTCTAACATTTAGAAAACATTGCACAAAATAATGAAAATATTGCTTGCATATAACAGAGCCACACATAACTGAACTTTAAATCAAAGCAACTATAACAATAACGAGCTACTGTAGGCTCACTAAAGGCATCACAACAGAGTTTAATCTTGCTAGCGATTTATTAGTTAACTGATAAAATCCTTAATACTTAACTTCTATGACCGACTAATTTACTAATCACGGTAGGGTAGAGCTTCTAACTTATCATCAATGGCAAAGTTCCAAGAAACATGATGTGTGAGATATTGTATAAACATGAATTGGCGAAGATGAGGGTGTTACTCCCTTTATCTTCAGCATGTTGTCCTTAGGAGTTACCTAAACACATAGAAATAACAAAAGGTGAATACAAAAACTTAGCAAGCATGCATAAACCACAACACTGAATATTTATAAAAAGTATCTTATCACCAACACAGATAATGATGATCATATGTGTCCACATGCTCACTGCATCTCACTGCATTTTGTATACCAGTATCGCTTGAGTAGACATCCATCGGCATCTACTTGTTGAGCATTGAAAGTTTCAAGGTTCCGAGCTAAGTAGCTCTTCCTATCTTTGTCACTATGATGATGTGGAAAATATGAAATGCGAGTAGAGTGTTTGCAGTATACAAACTTCTACATTAACATATAATTATGACCATGGCAAATATCATGAACATAAAGAACAAGTACTAAGAAATAAATTTTATGCAAAAATAGCCAGAAAAAGGTTATTATCCCATCATGGACTTGTCTTGACCCTTACGAGCAACTGAAGAAATATCCATTGCATTGGAACTCCTCAGACCTGTGGAGCAAACCTCACTTAAGAAACTGTTTGAAGATCATCACACAAGCATATTCTACTACCTCCATACTCGACAGCAGCAACAACAAAGCCTTTAGTCCCAAACAAATTGGGGTAGGCTAGAGCTGAAACCCATCAGATCTCGCAACCATCTCCTGGTTCTGGCACATGGATAGCTAGCTTCCATGCACCCCTGTCCATGGCTAATTCTTTGGTGATATTCCAGTCCTTCAGATCTCTCTTTACGGACTCCTCCCATGTCATGTTTGGTTTACCCCGACCTCTCTTGGCATTATCAGGACACTTTAGCCGTCCACTATGCACTGGAGCTTCTGGAGGCCTACGCTGAATATGCCCACAAACCATGTCAGGCGATGTTGGACAAGCATATTCTACTATCTCCATACTCAAGGCTCGACAAAATTTGTAAAACCCAACTTTGCTCCTTACATCAAAACGCGGTTTAATTTCTCTATTTCCATGCTATTTTCTCCTTAATTATTAGTATGTTTATCCAAACAGCGCAAAAGATACCAGCTTAGATATCTACAGCTTTCATGTTACCTTAATAGTGATAACATCTGAAATAGAAAATTGTTTCAGTTAAAAACTGGCTCAGGAGCATGGTTTTTACTCAAGTTTTCAAACCTTTAGAAAGGCAAGTACAAACTTCTCCTTTTCTGACTAACTTCATACTGTAAGGATTTGATCTCAATTTTCGAATTAGTATCCCAGATCAGCAATTAAACTATCAACATCTTGAGGCCCTTGTGAGAGGGTCGCTCCATGTCATTGTTTCTGACAGAAGATTTCGGATTAAATCATCTCTTCCATGAGTGCGCTGTTTACTTTCCTGGTGCTGACATCTAAAGTTCTCACCTACCCTCTGTAGTCTTGTTCGTGATGCCAATTTGTTGTTGTCATGTTTTGCATCTCTAATGGCTGCTATGGTAGCCTCCTTTTGATCGTTCAGATACGTCACATGGTCAAAGTTTCATTTACTGGCATATGCAAGATTTCACCATTCTATGTGAATGTTGATCATAGTGGTATGTCCACTACTACTGCAATTGTGGATGGAGATGTTTGCTTTTATTTGTGTGTACGAGTTAAGTTCAGTGATGCCTTGTTTTGTTACTTCAAAAGTTTTTTCATTTCATTGTTGGCTTGACCAGCTTTATTCTGACAGTCCATGCCAATCTCATCTAGAAGATTCCTTTGTTTGGTCTTTTCCTGCATGTTACAGAATTAGTTACAAATAAATAGGTCTGGTCCCTAGTAAGTTGCAAGGTTTTCATGAAAATTTGTCAGTGTTCCAATGTGATGATTATTTCTTTTAAAACTGGAGATATTTCGAACTATATTAAACATTTTTGCTGCTGTTACAGCTCAGGTGCTGGTGTTACAGTTCAGGTGTGCACAGTGCCAACAGCTTGGTTTCTTGCTAGTTTTGTTCTTTCATTTCAAACAGCTAAATTTTGGGGGGTTTCTGGCGTTTCTTGTATTTGCATATGATCCATCTGCTTCTTCTCGTACTCTCCCCTGTAGTTGGTTTCATGACCCCTGTTTCGTCCAGTGTTAAAAGTTGGGTAGGGACAGGAGAACCACCGCTGCGTACTTTCTTGCGACTGTAATGTCAGCTCACCATAATGTAATTTGAGGAGGAATACCATCCGTGAGCGTTCTGTCATTACCAACTGGTGGAGAGTTACCATCAGTCTCGTTTGCCTATTTATGGTGGCTGCATGATATGCTAGCGCACCATCAGTGATGTGCCAAAAGGGTAAGACCAGAAAATTGGGTTTTCTTTTTTGTATATGAAAGAGTAGAGTATTCCTTTCCTTCCATGTTATATGTGGCTCTTCGTATTATATTTGAGACACGGTTTTGAGTTTTCTTCACCTAGGTCTTCTTATATACACTGAATCCCTCTGGTATTTAAACTCCATAGTACTCCCTCTGTAAACAAATATAAGAGCGTGTAGATCACTAAAATAGTGATCTAAACACTCTTATATTAGTTTACGGAGGGAGTACTACATTTGGAATTTTTTGTTTCACTGGAATGAATTTGCTTCAATTTTTCATATATACATGAAGATCCATTTATTCGCGTCAACGTGATGACTGTTATTGAATTGTAGTTTGCGGTGTTCCATTGCGGTCCCATTGCGTTGTGCACTCATGTTCTCCAGAATTCGACAATATCTTGTCGAAATATTCGTGAATATGTTACTTCCTCAGTATTACTGTAACGATTGTTTGTTGTATTAATTTGAGGTTGGTGGCAGTAGTACTGTTTTCTTCTCTCACAAGTAGTTGATTTTTCTCTCTGACATTTCCGCTGTTACAGATGCTGAAACGTTGTTTTTGCCCCCCGCTGCATTTGAGAACGAACGAGAGTGACCAATGAATCTCACTGGTTAAAGGTCATCGGTTGAAGAATTGCTACGTAATAGGCGGTTGGTAAACCTTCAATTCGTGGTACTCCCTCCGTCCGGGTGTATAAGTCATTCGCGTAGTTCTAGGTCATCGATTTGAGGAATTAAATATGTGTTATATGTCATGAAAAGTATACCACTAGATTTCCACACGGATGTAGTTTCTAAATATATATTTTTTGTCATATATAATACATATTTAGATAGTTAAATTATCGACCTAGAACTACGCGAATGACTTATACACCGGACGGAGGTAGTAGCTCCCGGGCAGATGAACCGATCAGCTGCCGCCGCCCAAGTCGCATTCGGATTGTGATCGTACCACTTGTGAAGCTGATTAAGCGCCGACGCCATGTGACTACAGTAGGTCGTATATGTATCAATGTAAGTATGTCGTGAGACGCTATGCTCCCATGACCGTAAGGTGTCTGCCTCCTATGGCGCATGTCGGGATGGAAAGGCTCATTCAGGCGATGATGCCGCTGCACTGTATCGCGTACCGTCGAACCCCCATGTGTCGCGGGCCTGTGGCTGCTGCCCTGATGCCATCACAGATTTCCGCTGTTGCTAGGCAGTGCTACGGAGTACCATCCTTTTGGCTGTGTGTGACACCCTTCTTGGTTCATCTGATTACGTTTTTGCTCTCATCTGCTGCCACTGTATAGCAACCAATCGTAGCACACGGCCGGCGCACGCCCGACCAATATTGCTTTTAAAACACAATAAAATTTACTTTAAAATGCGATCCGCAATGGTCATGGATCAACACATTGGAGAGTTTGCTTTAGATGAGTTAAAATTTGGCATCATATTTTATCGCCTGGGATGATTCAGCAGCGAACTGCTTTGCAACCGCCCCGGTGCTCCGTCACCGGATGGCTTTGACCGGTGTTGCCTCCCGAGAAAAACGTACTGCGGATGGCGATCTTCAAAAGGAAAGACAAAAAGGAGAGAGCGACAGACCTCCTTCGTGGGGGGCAAAGGCAGGCTCGTGATGGTCGCCCTACCAAGTCCCCGGATGGTGTGGGAATCCCCAAAGCAGACACGCACTTATCTTTCCCTTGCTCAAGTAAAGATGAACAAAGGGAGGGAGAAAAGCACCAGATTCTGCCACTCACACACCAACAATGTATATCACGGATTAAACCAAAAGATGTTTGGCACTAATGGTGTGCAGGAAAAAG